ACTCCTTGTCAATTGCTCTTGATCTTTAGCAGCAGGTTGGCCTGGACCATGTCCACCGTAGTTGCTCAGTCGCTGCATGTTTTTGGTCTCCGAGCCCGCGTGGCCAACAATATCTTCTTCTTTGACGAGCAGACGCTTATATTTCCTTCAGGAAATCACTGTGTGAAGTATAATGTGGATCAGAAATGGCAAAAATTCATTCCAGGTAACTCACTTTCATCTTGACCCAACTGTACAGTACTGCATATAACCCCATGATCGACACGTAGAGATTGAGAAGGAAAGTATTTGGGGCCAGTTTTCATCGCCCCCCACCCCAAGACATAGAGAGAGCATAGATGTGTATCGATGTATGTTGCTTAGGTTGATCATGCATAACCCAGTTCTGACTCAGAGCATTCCTGTAGGACACATCTTTCTCCTGTAGAGTAGCTGGTGCGTCCAGGGTCCAGCCTTTAAGTTAGCAGCCGAATTCGTAACTACTGGGTCACCAGGTATCTAATCATACATATGTCATTAAAATCACATATACAAAATAATATTAATAGAATGCCTTTTTTCACTTTAAGATCTGGAAAAATAAGCTCTTTTCGTGCATCTTCATTATCATTTTCCAGGAATAGAAAATTTTATCTTTCTCCCATGGAACAGCTGGTGGTGTCAAACTGCTGACCTTGTGGCTAGCAGCCCAGTGTGTAACCACTACACCACCAGGGCAGTTTAAATCTGTCTCATAGGGTTGCTGTCAGTCGAAATCCACTGGTACCCACAACACCGTTCTCCAGAGTAAACCATTTGTTTCCCTAAGTCATTTCTGATACAGCTTCTCATGAATCTGTGTATTAGGAAAGGTGCCCTGATGGCATAGAAGGTTAAGCTGCTACCCAGGAGGTCAGTGGTTCAAACTCACCAACTGCTCCTTGGGCGAATAATAAAACTGTCTGCTCTTGTGAAGATTTACAGCCAAGGAAACCCAAAGGAGCAGTTCTCTATCCTATAGGGCCACTGTGAGCCAGATGGGATGGCAGTGGTTGGGTTTTGGTTTTGCATATCTTGTCCTAAGTCACCAGTGACCATTTGCATAACTTTATAAAATTAAATTTCATGCACATTGGACCTATTGATAATATTCATGATTTCCATACCTATCTCTTTCTCCCCTTTTTCTTCTTTTAAAAAAAATAATCTTATTGGGGCCTCATACAACTCTTATCACAATCCATACATGCATCAATTGTGCAAAGCACACCCGCACATTCATTAACCTCATCACTCCCAAAACACTCGCTCTCCACCTAAGCCCCTGGCATCAGCTCCTCATTTTCCCCCTCCCTCCCCGCTCCCCTCTCCCCTTTTTTCTTACCTTAAAAAATAAATAAAAGTATTGTGGCATATGCCTTCGACAGAGTGCATACATACTACATCTATGTAATATTTTTGAGAGCATGATGAAGTGAAGCTCTGTGTACCTGTCACCCAGGATAGGAAATAGAACATTACAAGATACTAAATTGTATTGCATATTTTCTATATTTTATATCTGATCCTATGGATCTCGACATTAAGCCAGTCATTATTTTAGACAGACCACGTTTGTTTGTACTTGCTTGAAAAGTTACTGACATTTTTTGTTCACCATTCCATTTTATAAATCACACACTCCCAGTTGCAATTATTTCTACCTGCCTGAAGTTCAGCCTTTGTCATCTTGATTAATGATAATCTATTGGTGATAAACTCCCTATTTTTGTCTGAAAATGCTTGTATTTCATCCTTATTGTTGAAAGACAGCTTTTCTGGGGATAGAATTTTTGTTAGCACATTATGAGTTTTACCCCAATGTTATTTGACTTCTGTTTTGTTGATATCTTAAGAAATTAGCCATTAAGGTCTTCTTTGTAAACATGACTTGTGTTTGGTTTGTGTGTTTTGGGTGGGTGGGGGGATTGTACGTATTTTTTTTTAATCCTACTAGAGATTCTTTGGGATTCTTGTATCTGAGAATAAGTCTTTTTGGATGATTATAGAAATTTTTTATCAGTTGTCATTTTTAAAATACTCTTTTTTTCATTCTTTCTGCTAACTCCTTCGGTACCCTAGACCATCCCCTTTCTCCATGGCTCTTTGACTCGTTTGTATTTTCCCCTCCCAGTCTCCCTTCATTGCATGTTAGATCATTTTATTTAGATTTGTCTTTCAGATATTACTGTATAATGTATTCCATTTAAAATTTCAATTACATTTTAAATTTCTTGTTCATAATCTCATATTTCTTTGGTCTTCATCCCTTCTCTTCTGCTCCTGACACCATTCCATACCACTAGGGTGCATATTCAAACTCTATCCATATTTCCCAGATACAATTCTCTTTGATCATTCTTCAGGCCCAGATCAAAGTCAAGATAGACCTAAGGACAAAATCAGTATCGCTCTTGTTAGCACACTTGCGACCATGTGGACAGAACATTCCAGTCTCGGATACCTGAAACATGATCTAGAAGAGGCAATGTAAACTCCAGGTGACCTAGAGAGCCCATCTCACGGGTCATAGCCAGGCCAGGGCCACAGCAGGGTACACTGACATGTAGGGTCCAGGGAAAGCACCCTAATGACCAAGTCTAAAAGTGTTACTCATGGGGTAGAAAGTATAGAGGTCATGAAAGCAGCAAATATGGATTTGAGTGTTTTTTTCTATTTTATTCCCCTCCCAAGTCTCAGTTTTCCCACCTGTAAAATGGAGATGATGTCGTTTTTGTCTTGTTATAATTCTGAAGGTATTAGGGTTAGGATCTTCCCTACAGTGGTATGACCTGTCCAGATTACATTACATTGCTTTGCATTATAGCGGGTAATTTGCTCTACTTAAGGGCAGCTGATTTCCCGAAAGCAGCTACAGTAGTGCCTGCTTGAACGACTGGGAACATAGCCTAGCCAAGTTAGCACATGAAATTAACCATCTAGAGGAGTGAGTCATGCACTGGGTTAAAGCAATGCAAAAGCCTTCTACAACCCTAAAATGAATGAGTGTATATCGAGCACCTGTTAGGTGCCAGGCATTGATGACTGAATTAGAGACAAACCGAAGGTAACTAAGTAGATAGGTAGGTAGGTAATCAAGCTTTCCTAGCTGCCCTACAGGAGTTCTCAGTCTGGTAGTGGAGATTAAAAAATATATTCGTAACTTGTTGTTAATTGCTATTGAGTTAATTCCACCTCATGTGTCCCTACTAGAACTGCTCCAGAGGGTTCTCAAGGGGTGGCCTTTCAAAAGCAGATCCCTATCCGTGTGTTCCAGCACACTTCTGGGTGGATATGGACCACCCTCAGCTCATAGTCCAATGCATAACCGTTTGTGCCTTCCAGGGACTCCTTATTCAAAAGAGTTGTTAGGTACCTTTGAGTCAGCTCTGACTCATAGGTACCTATGCACTACAGAACAAAGCACTGCCTGAGTCACGCCATCTGCACAAGTGTTATGTGTGAGCACATTCTTAGAGCCACTGTGTCAACCCATCTTGCTGAGGGTCTTCTGCTTCTTCACTGACGCGTGCCTTTTCCAAACATGAGGTCTTCTCCAGGAAATGTCTCCTGATAGCACCACAATGTACGTAAGATGAAGTCCCTTACCTTCTTGCTTCTAAAAAGCATTCTGACTGCACTTCCTCCACGACAGATTTGTTTATTTCTCTGGCAGCCTCTTCAATGAGTGGGATACATGCTCTGCCCGGTATGATCCTGGCACAAACAGTGGAGCGTCCTTTGGACTTTACACTGTAACACCCTCGTGAGAAACGAAGGCAAGGACTGATACCCCACGGTCTTGGGTGTGGAAGTCATTGGACTGTGGTGCAGACCTCTTGCTTTTGAGGTTGTATCGGGTATACCAGCCCCTAACACATCATCACAGGTCCAGTAGGCACAATTGTACAGTGATAATAAGTAAAGATTATAGTAAAGTCAGAGAAATATGAGAGACAGAAGAGAGATGAAATAATGGAGTCAGACACATTTTATGGTAGCATGCTCACCTCAGCCTCACTTGGTGGTCCACGTGGAGAGAGAGAGATATTTATTGCTAACCAAGGCTTTTATATTCTCTGGGGACATGCAAGCCCCCTAATTACAGGTGAGGACACACGTCACAGGAAAGGGTTGTGCTATAGGTAATACAGTAATGGGAGGGGGGTGATCTAGGGATATACACACAATAGGAAGGGTGGGTGATGGGGGGTACATGTGACAAGATGGGCGGATCCTAGATTCAGGATGGCAGCCTACCTTTGATTTGACCTGTTCTCTGGCCCATCATAGAAACCATTATCAGTAGGGTATAAACCCCACTTACAGGAACCAGACTAATGGTCTTAAGCCTTTAGGGAGAAGTAGCCCATTGTCCTTAACAGCAGGGAGTGGACCCTACCTGTGGTGGGACCAGACAGTAGTCTGGCAACTGACTGCCTTTAGAGAGGTAACTTGGCAATCATTTACCATTCGTTGCAAGCAATGTCCTAAGTCTAGCCTATATTTGGGGGAGACAACTTGGGAGAAATCTTTCTGTTTCCCACAAGGTTGCCCAACAACAGGCAACTTAAGACTACAGCTATATCTGCCACTTTCCTATTTTCATAGCTTTTAAAAACATGCCTTAGTTCAGCTCCCGTAAAGAGTTACAGTCTCAGAACCTCACAAGGGCAGGTCTACTTTGTCCTCTGTGGGGCTGCTAATAGTGGGGATTGACTGGGTGGCAGTGAGTTTGGTTTTCAGTCCTGCAGACAGTTCTGCTGTAGTGAATGAGTGTTATTCAGTTGTGTGCCTCTAGCTAATCCTCATTGTGTTCCTAAACAGGATTCAGTCACTTAAGTCTTATGGACGTATTTTAGTTTTAAAAAGTTCTCCTATATATGAATATTTATCATATCTCAGTAGCATTTTAAATTCTATACCACTAGCTAGTTTAGTGATGCTATTATTAGAATTATACTATTAACATATAATTAATATAATTACACTATTATAGAGTTGCATTGGGTGTATCTGCTGCACAAGACCACTTTAGAGTTTTGGGAAGCAGGGAGGTTACTTTGAGGGCTGAGTTGTTCCTCACCCAAGCCATGGTATGTTCAGTTGCCTCCTACGCATGTGAAAGTTGGACATTGAACTAGGAAGATTGAAGAAGAATCTGTGCGATTGAATAGTGATGCTGATGAAGACTATTGGCAGTTCCTCGGATTGTCTAAAGGACCAACGAGTCTGTCTTGGAAGAAGTACAACCAGAGTTGTCCCCTAGAGGCAAGATGGCGAGACCTTATCTCATGTACTTTGGACATGTTGTCAAGAGAGACTAGTTCCTGGAGAAGGACATCATGTGTAAAGTAGAGGGGCAGCGGAAAAGAGTAAGCCCTCTACAAGATGGATTGACAACAGTGGGCTCAGCATAGGAACAATTGTGAGGATGGCACTGGACCTGGCACTGTTTTGTTCTGGTGTGTATAGGGTCATTATGGGTTGGAACCAACTTGACCGTACCTAACAACAACAATTGTTATGAAAGGCTCCAATGGAAGTTACTTATATTGTTTCTCAGAAAGCTGCTGGTGCTGCCTCTATAGTGGGACACGGATATGAATAACCTTAGGTATATACATGGGTTTAACAATAAGCCCTTACTTAAAATCAGTCAATTCTCATGATGCAGCCCTGCTATCTACTGACCTTCATGTGGGATTGCTGGAGAGATGGGTGCTGGAACAAAGTGTGGTGAAGGAATCAGATGGTGCCCACTATCAGAAAGCATAGCATTGGGATCTTAAAAGCTTGTCTTAAAACTAATGGTTTTACAACTCTTTTTAATGAATTTAAACTATTGTATGTGTATTAGTCTAGGTACTTTGGAGAAACAAATCCACAGCAACTCATGTATAAGAGAGAGTTTTATGTAAAGAAAATGTGCATCATGAAAACATCCCAACCCAATGCTGCCCAAGCCCACAAGTCCAACATTAACCCATTAACCCAACACCAGTCCACAAAGTCCTCCACCTCACAAAACAGAGGCAATGATGCCGACTGCAGGAGGAAAGCTGAGTCAGTGAACGAACAAGCATCTCAGCACTAGCAGGGATCTCCACACGGCTGCTCCAGCACCCAGGGCTGCATCGGGATAGATCCATGTAGCTTCTCCTTGGGGATGTCTTGTAGGAAGTCAATCTTGCAAGCTGAAGCAGGGAACTGCTAAGGCAGCTGCACCCGTGCAACCATCACAAAACAAGAGACCCGAGAACTCGAAAGGTGAGGCTTCACCACTCATTTATCCCTCTGCCTTTCAACCAGCCCCACATGTGATTAAATTTAAAGAAAGCCCACTCTAGCATCTCTAATTGCCTACAGTTTAACTGGAATATTGTAACACTCATTGCCTGAACTATATGAAAATAGTTCTGTGGTTTTTATGCTACAGACTTCCTGGTTTCATTTATACAAGCTACTTAAGCCCTGGTTCAAACGGTGTTGAACCTCTAATAAGCCTCTTTTCTGTACTACAGCTTTTTAAAATATTCTGTAATTATGAGACATCAATTTAGTTAATTTTATTTATATCTAAGTATTTACTACTGATATTTCATAGAAATTTTGAGGGGGAAAAAGAAAGAATAATTAGCATTAAAAAACAAACAAACATTGGAATGAGCAGTTTTTTCTTTTCTTGCCTCCCATTGGCAAGCACATCTGTGCTCACACTTTTAACTTCTTATTATGCCTTTTATTACAAGTCTGTGTTTTCAATCCAAGACTCTTCCCTACTTTACAATCATATCTAGCTGCCTGGTGACCACTTTACCTGAATGATCTACAATATGTACCTTACACAACGTATCTAAAATTAGATATATCATTTCCTTTCCCCTACCTCTCTTTTTTCAAGATACTACCTTGCCAGATATTCAAAAGTGATAAAGATATAATTACAAGAAAAATATAGCCCTTATATAAATATGGGAGGTAGCTTTATATTTTTCATGAAAAAACTTCTATTATCTTTTTATTCCATTATTCCATGGACTTTTTGATATACTGCCCAAAGCCTAAGACCATTGCTGCAGCATTGATCCCTACTCATCAGCAAGTCTATAGTGACACTTGCAGTGACCCTATTGGAAGGGCAGGGTGTAACTGTGCCTGTGGGCTTCTGAGACTGCACCTCCTTACTGAAATGGCCTCATCTTCTCCCTCTGATCACGTGCTTAGCAGCCCAGGGGTGTCATCACTACACCAGTGCCTATATGACAAAGGAGAATGGCCCCACGAGGCTTCCCAGGCTGTAATCTTTACCGAAACAGATGGCCACATCTTCCTTCTGGTGGGTTCAAACCATTGACTTTTCGGTTAGCAGCCAAGCGACCAGGATTCCTTTTACAAGTAAACCAGAAGCCCAACATTATATATATATATGAATTTAATGTTGCATCATGATGGTGTGTTAGTCTGGGTAGATTAGAGAAACAAATCCATAGAAACTCCTGTGTATAAAAGAGAGTTTTGTATAAAGGGTAATTATACATTAAGAAAGCATCCCAACCCAGTCCAGTCCAAGCCCCTAAGTCCAATATTAGCCCATATGTCCAATACCAATCTATAAAGTTATCTGCAGACTCACGAAACATGCAATGATGCTGAATGCAGGATAATCACAGGCCAGTGAGTAGAAAGTCTTTGGATCCAATGGCATTGTAAGCATCGCAGTGCTGGCAGGGGTCTCCACGTAGCTTCTCCAGTTCCCAGGGCATATAGTCTATCAGCATAGTGCCATGTGTCTTGTCAGTAGAGTGTCTCCAAGGGAGGGAGCTGAGAGAGAGAAATACAGCACTTCCCAGAATTCTCAGGAGGCCATGCCCACACAGAGCTCTCATTGGCTATGTCCATATTGACAGGCTAGACTCTACCTCTACCCTCTTAATCCTCAAATTGACACCAAATTATGTAACTGCCACAGATGGCATTTGAAATCAGTACTGGGACAACCAGTGAGATTACTTGGCAAATGGAAAACTATTTAGATCTTCATTTTCTAGCCTTTACCATAATGAGCCTAGGATAAACTAAAAGGCGTATGTGTACCAAAAAAAAACCACAACAACAACTGGAAGTGAACACATAAATATCAAGTCTTTGGAAAACTTCATCATCCCCCTAACTTTCTCACCACTCCCAGTCGCCAACACCAGAACAAATATCACTCATGACTCTACTCCCTCCCACACCCTGTCATGCAGACAGTCACTAAGTCTCATGATTTTGCCTCATGGCATTTATCCCGTCTTCTCCTCCTCACTGTTCCAAGTTTCACTGGCTTCCCTTTTGCCTCCCTGGTGAAGTCCAAACTCTTATGCATGACCCTTGGTGGTCAAGAACCTGGGTTCTTCCCCAAGACTGAATTCCCTCTGCAGCCTGCCCAGAGACATCTCCTGTGCTGGACACACTTGCATGTCTCTGTAGCTTGTGGTGAAGTAGCAGCTTGGTGTCCCATCGTCCACTTGGTATCCCATTCCTCACTCATTCTCTCTGCCCCAGGTGTGTGTGCGGGCCTGACTTCTCCACTGAGCACAGCAGGTACAAGTTGTATGGCGCACAGTACTTTCAGGGAACCAAGAAAATATTTTAACTTTATTTTTAAATTAGGAAAATGAATAGAATAACAATGAGCATATAATAATGAATTCAACCTGGATTGAAAAAAAACAGTCATCAAGTTGATTCCAACCCGTAACCACCTTATATAGTGGTTCTGAGACAATTGATTTTTACAAAGCCTGACAACCTCATTTTTCTCCCATGGAGTGGCTGGTGGTTTTGAATCACCGAACTTGTGATTTTAACAATCCGACACCAAACCCAAGGTGCTATCAAGGCACCTTCTAATCAAAATGAGCAGGTAATGAATTACAACCTGAATTATATTCCTCTTTATATCAATGCAGTCATATACTGAGAATTTAATTCAGGCTGAAAATGTTTATATATTCATTTAAAACTAACAGAATTAAAATGTTGCTGTTTTTATAAAGTCCAAAAGCAAAAATGACTAGGACCCACAGAATCATATGTGACCCGTTTCCCAAGTGAAGTGTGTGTACTTTAACCTTTGCTGCAGTCGCTGCTTCCTAGATGGCCGTAGCTTGTGTGTCCTCGAACATGCCAACTCGTAGTTGCAAGGTGACTCTGGTATTGCCGGGCATCATCACTTGATCCCAGGAAAAGGGCAGAATGTATCCGTCCCTGGTTTTCTAGAAAGCATAGGTTCACCGTAAAGCCACTCCAACAGATTCCTGCATCGTTTCCCAGCCAGAAGGTCCTGTGGACCATCTAACTGAAAAGGAGAGTAAGGAATGCGGTAGCTGGCATCCTAGCCCCTGGAGTCGAGGAAGAGTGCTGCATGCTGACTACTCAATACAGAAAGGCCTCTCTGCCCCTGCCCTGCTCCCTTTCTCTAAAGCAGTCTGGTCACCCCTGACTCACCTGCTGTGGTCCAGCAGTATCCCGCTCTGCACGGTTCTCTCAGTAGCAATGCTGTTTCTCAGATGCACACGTGCGCTCAAGCTCCTCCTGCTACCTCCTCCTACCCCCAACCCAGTGATCTCTCCTCATCCCTGGCCACCTCCTACTCACAAAGGCATTAGTGCAGCAAGAGGCTGGCAGTGATTGCTAATGACCAGTTTGTGCTCCTTTCTTCACTACTGTACCTGGTTCTTGGGTGAAAACATGACCTCCTCATCCTCCCCTTTCTCTTCTGTTTTCAGGCTCAGAAAAGAGTCAGGGCATGTTGGCTTTGGCCATCAGCCCCAACCGGCGCTACCTGGCCATCTCCGAGACTGTGCAAGAGAAGCCGGTCATTACCGTCTACGAACTATCAGCAATCCCTTGCCGGAAGCGCAAAATCCTCAATAATTTTGACTTTCCAGTTCAGAAATTTATTAGCCTGGCTTTTTCTCCAGACTCCAAATACCTCTTGGCCCAAACATCAACTCCAGAGTCGCAACTTGTCTACTGGTTGTGGGAAAAACAAAAAGTAATGGCCACTGTAAGAACCGATACCCAGAACAACACTGTCTACCAGGTATCTCCCAGCATATCAGGCACATTAAAAAGCATAATAAGAGCTATCTCTTATGGAAAGCTGTCTCTGTAGCAAGAAGGGTACTAATTTATTACATGCATGTCTTAATTTAGTCTCACAACAACCATCTAAGGTAGGCACTACTGTTACTACCCCTATTTGACAGATGAAGAAACTGAGGCTCTGAAAGGTTAATAAACTCAAGACCAGAGAGGTAGTGAGTAGCACAACCAAGGAATGGGACCCAGGTTTCTTTGACTTCAGTTCCTGCCATCTTTGCTGTGGCCCAGGGCCACTTCTGGCCACTCGTCAGGCCCAGAGGTACCGGATTGAAAGAATCCAGACTTTTTTTTAAAATTAAATCATTTTATTGGAGCTCTTACAGCTCTTATCACAATCCATACATACATCCATTGTGTCAAGCACATTTGTACATATGTTGCCATCATCATTTTCAAAACATTTGCTTTCTATTTGAACCATTGGTATCAGCTCATTTCCCCCTCCCCCTCCCTCCCTCATGAACCCTTGATAATTTATTAAAAAAAATTTTCATGTCTTAACTGACCAATGTCTCCCTTCATCCACTTTTCTATTGTCCGTCCCCCTGGGAGGGGGTTATATATAAATCACTGTGATCGGTTCTCCCTTTCTTCCCCCACCTTCCCCCTACCCTCCTGGTATCACTACTCTCATTATTGGTCCTGAGGGGTCCTGTCCTGGATTCCCTATGTTGTGAGCTCTTACCTATACCAGTGCACATGCTAGCCGGATTTGTAAGGTACAGTTGGGGTCATGATAGTGGGGCAGGGGGCCGCGGGGAGAAGCATTAAAGAACCAGAGGAAAGTTGTATGTTTCATCAGTTCTATACTGCACCAGGAGTGGCTCGTGACCCTTCTGTAAGGGGATGTCCAATTGTCTACAGATGGGCTTTGGGTCTCCACCCTGCTCTCCCCCTCATTCACATCAATATGATTTTTTGTTCTGGGTCTTTGATGCCTGATACCTGATCCCATTGACACCTCATGATCACACAGGCTGGTGTGCTGCTTCCATGTGAGCTTTGTTGCTTCCCTACAAGATGGCTGCTTGTTTATCTTCTTGCCTTTAAGACCCCAGACCCTATATCTTTTGATAGCTGGGTATCATCAGCTTTCTTTACCACATTTGCTTATGCATCCATTTTGTCTTCAGCAATCGTATTAGGAAGGTGAGCATCACCGAATGCCAGGTTATTAGAACAAAATGTTCTTGCGTTGAGGGAGTACTTGAGTAGAGGCCCAATGTCTGTCTGTATGTACGTAGATCTATTTCCCTATTGTTATATATAAATATATTTACATATGTGGATGCCTGTATTTAGACCTCTATAAATGTCCTTTGCCTCCTAGTTCTTTCCTCTATTTACTTTTATTTGAAAGAACCCAGTCTTCAAGCTGGTCCTCGCCTCTTCCCAGTAGCCTTGTTGGGCACTGTGAAGATTTCAGAACTAAGCTCTGAACTGAAAGGAGCTGTTGAGGAAGTAAGGGCAAAATGGGAAAGTCCCATCAGGAAGCTGACTGATAGCTTAGGGAGGGTGTTCCAAGATTTTATCTTGGTGCAGTTACCCAACATAGGATCTTGTACTTGATTTTATAAGTGTAAGAACTCTGTTCATTTTCAGAGATTTGAGCTAATTCATTTCCGAGGCATAGATTCAGTTCTTCAATTCACAAAAGGCTGGTGTATAAACTAGCATATCACAACCAGAGCACTCATCCCTCATCCAGTGATTGCCTCCCTACAAACAGAACTGGAGAGATAAGGTTAGTAATGGGAAGGTTGCTTGGTGATCACAGGATCAGACACAAGGCAGGTCGACCCAAGTTCTCTCTGGTGAGATCAGATCGAGCATTTCTATTCAAAGAAGAGGACATGCCCTCTCAAGTAAGTTCAATAAGCAGTTATTAGATGCCCACTATGAACCCAGCACTGCGACTAAAAAGCCACAGCTCCCATCATGGTCACCATCTAGCGAGGGCAACAGCTAACTGCCCCCTTATTGCGCATTGGGGTGCATGTTTGCTAGGAGGAAGCGCAATATGCAAGAGCTACACAAGCCGGCCAGGCCCTCGCTGTCCTGCACCTCCAGCTGAGCTGTTGCTGCATGTTAGTTTTGTAGTTAGTTTGCTTCCTTTATATACATTGGCGTGTGTGCTTGTGTGGGTACACGTGTGTGGGTATGTAAGCAAAACTCACCGCCATCCAGTCGATGTCAACTCGGACCCCCCAAAGGACAGGGTAGAACTGCCTCTGTGGGCTTCCTAGCCTGTCACTGTTTACTGGTGTTTAGAGCCCTGTCTTTTTCCTGAGGAGCGTAGTTGTTTCAAACTGCTGACCTTGAGGATCGTAGCCCGGCATGTGAGCACGATGCCACAAAAAAGTTCATGGAAGTGGAATGGAAAACTAATGGAGTTTTCCCATGAACTTCCTTTCATATTTAATACTTTAGTCAATATCCTCTTTTCAGTTTATCATAAGATTTTACAAAAACATTTCATCGTAAATGGGGTGAAGGCTCACAGAGCAGTTCATCAGTTTTGCCTTCAACAATCCATACAATGCCCGTTTGCTCTCATCCAAAGGACCATCACTGTCACGCTTCCCTCTTCTGCCCTGTGTCTCCTGTGTCCGTTCTCCCTTCTTTCCTAACCCTCCTGAACTTGTTGAAGCCCCTCCTGTGCGTGTCTGTTTGCTGATCAATCTCTTCTTGTGGTAAATATAGAGGGGGTGAACCTGCCCTTTCAACCGTCGACATGTACAGTTAGAGACCACGTTGAGTGGCTGTCACCACTAACTTGGCTGCCGTTTTCCATCGTCCTTGACAGAGCTGAGTGTCCCCCACGTGCTGTGTTCTCCTCTCACTATTACATCCTTGTTGACACACAGCCTCACTCTTGTCAACACTTGCTCATCCTGCCTTTTGGCCTTTGTACGAAGCCTCTACTTTGTAGTTATCTTGGGTTAAGATCCACAGGCCATGAAAATGCAAGTGTAATGGATCTATATCTGTGCTTTATCAAATATAAAATCAAGTTTATATCATTTCGTGACATTCAAATGGTACTCTGAGCTACCAGACATCAATACTAATGAATTAAATCAGAAATAATCCCATCAAGGTTGATTTCATAAATCTCTGGCTTTGTTTCCCCTCTCCCATTTACACAGGTGAGCTTCAATCCCCAGGATAACACTCAGGTGTGTGTCACTGGAAATGGGATTTTTAAACTTCTCCGTTTTGCTGAGGGAACCCTGAAGCAAACCAATTTTCAGAGGGGCGAACTTCAAAACTATCTGTCTCATGCCTGGGTGTCCGATGACAAGATTGTCGTTGGCACTAACACAGGCAAGCTCTTCCTCTTTGAGTCTGGAGATCCGCGCTGGGAGACGAACATCATGGTCAAGGAGCAGACCAGTGACATGAAGAACTTGGATATGCTTCAAGAGTCAGAGAGGTAATGGGAGTCCCTGTGGGCTGGTTCTCTCGAGAAAGGTACTTGTTGTGCTAATAGCATCGAACAGATAGTAGCATTTTAAAAACATCACTCTATGCCCCCTGGACCCTAAAGACCAACTGCGTTCCTTGTCCCTCTCCCTTTCTAGCGTTGGTCTATTTTTAAGTATAAATTCTGCAGCCATGATCATAACCCAGGTATGTTTCCTTTTCTTTTTATGTAAGTTCATGAATCCTTTAATTAGAGCATTCCTTTCTAGAATTGATTCCGGTGATGATTGCACAACTCCTTATAATAGGATTAGACCGTTGAACTGTACGATATGTGAATTATATGTCAATGAAACTGTTTAAAAGACTCATAAATAAAATAAGAGCTATCTTCCACGCTTTAGTCTGTGTGTGTGTGTGTATCCAATCTCACACACAGTGGCTGCCTAATTTACTGAATCAATGAAGTAAATGTTCCTTGAGTTCTTGCTGTGCACCAGGCACCTTGCTGGGTGCTGGGGGTACAGTTCCTTGCAATTCAGTAAGAGGAACAGACCAACAAACCCAGTTTTCAGCATCCCCAACCACTGGCATCTCCTTTTATTGCCGTGATTCTGTCAGAGCTTTCTTGTGAGTCCCTCTGCCCTTCTCTGGTGTGCTCTGTTAGAATCCCTCGGTGGGTCTGAACACTTCATCTTGGCCCCCGTGCTCCAGCAGCCCTGCTCCTCTATATGGCCAGCATCCACTCTTGCCTCTATCCACTGCTCTGTTTCAGTGCCCTGACTACCCTGTCCCCTCACTTGTTTCTGGGCTTGGTAACATGCCATTCCTTCTGTTCCCCTGCCTCGCCGCCACCACCACCCCTCCACATACACATACACACATACACACACATATGCATACCTGATAAATTTGTTAGTCCTCCTTGTCTCAGCTGGCAGCTCTCAGATGTGCCCATCCCAGCTAAGTGCAGCTCCTCTCTAACTGTCCTCAGAGATCCCTGTCACGTGTGGGCTGACAGCTCCCACTGTAACCCCCGTCCCCTAACAGGCCTTCACATGCTCCGACCTTTCTTAAGTTCCTGGGGCCAGAAACCTAACAGAGCTTCAGTAAATGTTTGTTGAAATGAGAGAGGAGATGGAGAGCTAGTGGCGCGGCCTTAAAAACCAACCCAAGTCACTTCCTTCTTAACCAGACAGGGGGAC